TCATGCAATGTGACCCTATTGCCAAATAATCTTTACCAAAAAAGTAGTTATTTTTCTCATCATTTGGTGGCTGTTTAAATGAGTCTCAGAGGTCCTGAAATTTGCTCAGGGACATCTACCAAGTTAGTAGTAGAGCCAGGACCACTCTCAAGCTTGTGGTTCCTAAAACAACGGTCTTACTTCACTCCAGGAAAGAGGAAACAGCAGTAGGAACTGGTTTAAGGATTAATGTGGTGGTCAAAGTGCTGTGGGAGCCCAGGGAAGGGAGAAGGCAGATCTGCCCCAGGGTAAAGTGGCCTCCTCTGTTCTGAGCATGTAAGTAACAGCACCATACCTCCTGACGGGGAAAGCAAAATCAGCCCCTTTCACACAGCAAAGGAAGAAACCCAGACACCAAATAACAACAATAACCATGGTAATGATAGTTTTTACTTCCACTTTAAAAATGTATCCAAAGATTTATTTTTCTTTCTTTCTTTCTTTCTTTCTTTCTTTCTTTCTTTCTTTCTTTCTTTCTTTCTTTCTTTCTTTTTTTAATAGCAGATTTGGTTTCTCAGTTATGCCTCCCTTGGGCAAGTTTAAAATATCTGTGCTCCTGAGAATACCCAGCAGGGGGAGGCCGCTGAGATGTGCTGAGCAGAAGTAGAAAATGGACCAAGGATTTGAAGTATCCTGGCAATAGTTCTCCAAGTGGGTAATAGTAATCATGATAGCTCCTGTGAACTGAACACTTAACTGAGTGTTGTGTAACGTGCTATATACTTTCTACATATTCACTGAATCCTTGCCACAGGCATATGATGTAGAAGCTACTTTTTCATTTATTTATTTTTTATTTATTTATTTTTTTGAGATGGGATTTTGCTAGGTTCTTGCCTAGGCTAGTCTCAAACTCCTGGGCTCAAGCAATCCTTAGCCTACTGCTGAGAATACAGGCCCAGGCCACCGTGCCCAGCTTAGAACTACTATTATCCCCCTTCATATGAAGAAATGGAGGACCAAAGAAGTTGAGCCTTGGACAAAGTCCCCTTTCCTCACATGGTAAGAAGCGGAACAATGTAGCCTGCTCTCTGCTCTGATTGCCAATAACAAAACACCACAGACTGAGGGGCTTAAACAGCAGAAATTTATTTTCTTACAGTTGAAGAAGCTAAAAGTCCAAAATCAAGGTGCCTTCAGGGCTAGTTTTTCTTTCTGGCTTGTAAATTTCCTGGCTTTGTCATTGTGTCCTCACATGACCCTTTCTCTATATGCACCTGGAAGGGGCAGTGAAATCTGGTCTCGCTCTCTCTTTTCACAAGGACACCAAGCCTAGCCAATTAGGCCTCCACTCCTAAGACCTGGTTCAACCTTGGTTACTGCTTTAGCAAACCCTATCTCCAAATAGTGAGATGGGGGGTTAGAGCTTCAACATAAGAATTTGAAGGTAACATAATTCAGTCCGTAACAAACAAGGATTTGACTCTTCAGGCTGATCCCCCCCGCCCCAGCCACTCAACAGCTAATGAGGAGGGGGAGTTGTATGCCTGCCAGATTGTGTTTCCCTGTTTTTGTGCAGTCAACAGTGACCATACAGTTTGTGTCCCCTATCTAACCTGCCATCATCTTTCCTGATGAGCAATCTTCAGCTGGAAAGCCTGCCTAGGGAGGACCCTCAATCCCTCTCACAGGGGCCTACCAGCTCTAGCAAGTGTCATTTCACCAGCTCCAAAGGAGAGTGAGCAGTGATTGCTGCTAATTAGCAGCAATTAGCTGTGGCACCAAAGGAAAGTGGGTGTGTGGGGGGGGTCTTTATGGCTAAATGAAGAGGCAATTAGTAGACAAGAAAAGAGATAAATGCTGGCCTGATTCTTACTTCCTCAATCATTGCAGTTGTTTTTCAGTCCTTGAAAGCGTCATTGCCCCATAAGAGCGACAGTTATCTCCTGACAGGCCGTGTCTCTCAGCATCAGTTGGGAGCTAGAGAAGAGCTCTGTTCTTACAGGCAGAAGATCTTGGTTCCAGCTCTGCTGTACCTGGATTCCCTGTGTATCCCCGGGTGAGTCTTGTCATTCTCTTATACATCAAACAGGTTCAATGGTTTCAACTAGATTACTGCATTCCTCAAATGCAGGTTGAAAGTCAGTTGAGGATGATGATATAAATGTAAGGACCCAAGACCAGCATTAAAACTAGCATTAAAAAAAAAAAACTAGCATAAGATACAACTGACAGTATCAGTATCAGAAAATGAAGGACAAGTTGGGTTTTAGTTAAACTTTTTCCTTTACTGAAATGTGTACATGAATGCATGCTTCAGCATGTGGGGGAGCCTGTACATACTAGGTTACAATGTAAAAAGTGCTTCCTGCTGTGAGCTGTGGTTCAAAAAGTTGGAGACTTACAGCAATAAATGTTCCCTGAGGGTTGTTCCTGCCCTGTGGTCCAAGAATTTGCTTCCTTGAGGTTGGCCTGCATTTCCCATCACTGGAACAAACTGGTCTACAAGAGACAAATTATAGGACAATACAACAGCAGACTTCTGAGTTATTTAGTCACATTCTCCCTTCACAGTCCACTTCTCACATACTCCCAAGTCACAGGGAAGAGACAACTGGCAGATTCGGCTCCAATTCAGAGGCAAGAGTGCTAAGATGCAGCCTTTCACCAAGGGACCCCCACCAGGGTCCATTACTCCTCTGGGGAAAGGCTGCTTCCCCACCCCAACCCCAACAAGTCGTCCAAATGGCTCTGACAGTTCTTGCTGAGCCAGTTCTCACAGGAAAAGACTCTCTATGCTAGAGAAGCAAAAGGGAACAAGCAGCTAAGGAAAAAGGAACTCTGGAAAACCCAGAAGTCACTCTACCGACTGTGAAAATTTTTCAAGTGGCTGGTTCAATTATAAATTGCAACTATTTTTCCAGAGGGCAACCTAGTAGCTGCACGCTCTTTGTCCCAGTGATTCTGCTTCAGTGAATTTCTCCTGAGGAAATTATAGAGCAAAAATACACAAGCAAAACCAATCAAAATGTAGAAACAGCTGCTAGTGGCCCATGAACAGATTAGTCAAAGACTCTCATCCATGCAAGGACAAAAGAGAGAGAGAGAGAGAGAGAGAGAGAGAGAGAGAGAGAGAGAGAGACTTTAAAGATAATGGTGGTGACCCCTATCCCATATACATTAAGAAAATGTTCAGATTTATTATTTTCTTGGGAGAAAAATCAGACTATACATTAGGACATCCAAACCCCATTCTTGTTTTTTTAAAATCTTTTTTTTTTTTAAATGGTCTGCCTAGTTCTTTGGAAGAAGGGAGGGTTAGAAAATAATTATAAGGGTCGGAAGCCTGGAAAGACTTAGATGAAAACGGTCCAAGTGGGCATTTCTGAGAAACTATTCTAAGAAATTTCATTTCAACTTTATGCCTTTCTATATCGTTTGATTTCTTTTTTTACAAGTGCAAGCATTACTTTTATGATCGAAATAAAACAAAATTACTACTATTGGGGGAAATGAAATAATAATAACAACTTTGTTCCCGAGACCCCAGGATCGTTGGGTGGCTAAGTAGAGAATCGAGACCTCTTCCCGCCTTCGCTTCCCGGAGCGCGCTCCGGTTGAGGGTCCAGCCTGAGGGT